ACTGTGTGGAGACGAGGGCCCCGCTTTACGGGGGGGACTACGGTCACAGGACCCCCGCGTTCTCACAGTCGACCGTGAGCCAGGCACGGCCGCCCTTGCCCCCGACCACGCGGCCTACGCAGCCTCCAGCCCCAGGGAGGCCCTGTCGCGGTCCCCACTGGTCCTGGCGAGCAGGACAGGCGCCATGTGCCCGTCCTTCAGGAGCCCAGCTCCAGGGCCCAGTGAGGACAATCCTCCACCCCGGGCCTGGGCTCCCAGGAGAAGCCCAGACCACGGTGGCCAGGCGGACGGGGAGGAAAGGGTGGTGTGCGCGGGCAGGCCTCTCTCACCCACCGCGCCCTTCCCAGGAGTGGCCCAAGGGCTGCCCCTTTGAGGAGAGGAGAAACAATTCCTGATATCTAGAACCTTCCCCAAGGTCATGAGGTCACCCTGCCAAGGGGGAACCGCGTGGCAGAACTAAAAACAGACGAAAGGGACGCAAATAAGGAGTGGACAGTATGTGTCCACCCACAGTGGACGATCATATAATAATCAGCAGCTTGGAAAAGCCCGTGAGACTCTTATCTTCAATAAACAGCCGCACGGGAAAGCCCGGGAGACTCTTATCTTCAATAAACTACTCAGAAAAAGCTGGACGTGGAGCTGTGGCTCTAACCTGGAGCACAAAAGCTCAGATACAGTGTGCAGGCTCTGAGTTCAAGCCCCAGGTCTGTCATGAGTAGGAAGAGTGGAGAGGAATCATCTACGCAGCACACTGGGCTTGTTAACTGTGGTTGATGCCAATTAATTACATTGTTTTCCAAGTTGCTGATAGGGTTTTCAACATCCCCAGCACAAAGAATTGCTGAGCTTGAGGTGACGGGCGTGCCGGTGACCTTGATCTGATCACCCGCCACGGAGCAGCATGCTGAAATGCCACGCTGTAGCCCATAAATACACGCAATCAGCACGTCACTGAAAACCTAATGGAGTCTGTTGATAGCCCTCACACACGGGCGCCTTCCCAAACAAGGTGACCAGAGTGTACAGGGCAACGCGGCCTCCACTATCCTCCACTCTGGCTGCCCTGGTTGCAACCGAAAAAGTCTAGGACTGAATGTTTGCTGAGCTGCTCCCGGGATGAGATTTCTTACATCATTATGTCAATCTGTCTTCCAATGTGATAGCGAAGTACCCGAAGCCGGGTAATTTATAAAGAAAAGACGTTTGGTGAACTCACGGTGCTGAAGATGGTGCGGGCACTTCCCTGGCTCCTGGGAGGCGGCTGGCAGGTGGCTGGTGGTGGCGGGAGGCCGGGTGGAAGGGACCCCACTCGGGACAGGAAGCCTCAGGCCTGGGGGCAGACAAGTTTGCTTTTTTTAGAAGTCACTAGCCAGGCACCAGCAGTTCATTTCTGTAATCCTAGCAACTCAACAGGCTGAGATCTGAGGGGCATGGTTCGAAGCCAGCCCGGGCAAACAAGGCTGCGACTCAAGTGGTAGAGGGCTAGCCTTGAGGAAAAAAGTTCAAGAATAGTGGCCAGGCCCAGCATAAATAAAAACTGATGTCCACAGGTAGGTGGGCACCACCAACTGTGACCCCCGCTGCGCGGAGGCCCAAGACGGGGAAGACTTTGGTTCAAGGACAAACTGGGCAAAAAGTTAGCAAGACTCCATCTCCATCAATAAGCCGGGCTTCGCAGTGGGCACTTGGGGTCTCGAACGGAAGGTGAGAGCCCAAGATCAAGGCCCAAGATGGGCTGGAGGCAGAGACACAGAACCCTCTCAGAAAAAATAACCAAGGGCAACATGGCGGGGGGCATAGCTCAAGAGGCAGAGCGCCTGCCCAGCAAGTGTAAGGCCCCAGGAGAGCTGGTTCTGGGGGTCAGGGAGGGTGGAGCGCGGGGAGCCGGCATGTGTGCGGGGACTCCCGTCGCCTGGCAGCAGGGTGACCACCGGCCACCTCCCACTTCTCACCACGCACACACGGATACTGCGAAGTTAGTTGATTTTTTGTAAAAGCCACAAAAACTTTCCAAGGCCATTTACCCTCTCAGGCCGCACCTGGCTGCTCTACTCTTGAACTCTGCTTTTCCGCACACCTTTCGTAATCGCTTGCTGATATCTTAAATTCTATAAACTGCCGGCACAAAAGTCCCTGTGGCTCCTTGGCCCAGCTCCAGGCAAAGGTGCCGAGGCTGCGGGAGGTCCGTACCGGCAGGCACCAGGCCCGGTCCACTCTCCCTACCAAGTCCTGCCCATGGTTCAAGGCCCACCTGTGGCTCTCAGCCTAGGGTTCAGCCACTTCCCTGGAGATCAAGGGGTCACAGACACCACCACAAAATGTAATTGTTGCTATCGAGATGTTCCTGTGAGCAGATCCTGTAACTGTCAGTCCTGCTTCATTAAGAAAGTCAAACCCAGCCAGGTGCTGGGAGCACAAACTGCCTGTAATCCCAGCTACTCAGGAGGCTGAGATATGAGGGTCGCGGTTCACGTGCCAGCCTTGGCAGGAAAACCCATGGGATTCTTATCTCCAACTAAACACAAGGAAACAGAAAGTGGCGCTGTGGCTCAAAGTGGTAGAATGCTAGGATTGAGCAAAAAAGAGCTCAGGGACAGTGCCAGGCCCTGAGTTCAAGCCCCACGACCGACCAAAAACAAAAAGCAAACACAACAGTCAAACTCAGACAGGTCAAGGGCCCAGGACAAGGGCAGTCCTCTTCTGTCCATCCACTTCTGAGCTGTCCTGTCCCACGCCTGTCCTGCCCACTCTCCGCCCCACGAGACCCTTCTCTCCCTGGTGAGCCCAACATTCACCTGCCGTAAATAAATACGAATCAGACAATGCTGCTAAATGCAGCGTCAGTACTTTTTGTTTTATTCACCTGCTTGTGGGTCGGCCCTGGGCTTTGGAGTCTGCAGCAATCTGCCACTGCAGACAGGGCCAGGCGTCACACTGCACCTCACCTACCAGTTCCTCCCGGGCGCTATGCCATGTGTCATGGGGGACGACTCCCCCAGACCCTCACAGGCTTTCCTGCCGGCTCACTTCAGCGATCCTCAGATCTCAGCCTCCCGAGTAGCTAGGGTGACAGGCGGGAGCCACAGCGCCAGGCCCAGAGACTCTTCTCGTCAATTCGCCAGCAAAAAGCCAGAAGTGGAGCTGGGGCTTAAGTGGGAGAGCAATGGCCTTTTGCAGAAAAAGCTAAGTGAGGTCGAGGCTCTACGCTGGAGCCCCAGCACTGAAAGGGGGGAGGGGGGAGGAAGGAAGGAAAAGAGGAAGAGAGGGAGAAGAGGAAGGAAATGAAGGGAAGGAGGAAAGGAGGGAGGGACGAAAAATGGAAGGAAGAAAGGAAGGAAGGAAGGAAGGAAGGAAGGAAGGAAGGAAGGAAGGAAGGAAGGAAAGGAGGGAGGGAGGTAGAAGACTGGGCACAGCCCCTTCCTGGGGGGGTCCAAGGACGGGAAGGGGGGGCCGGGGGCTGGGATCCAGGAAGTGGGGACCGGGGTCTCCGGGTCAAGGGAGGGCAGGGGTCTCCAGGTGGGGGGGAGGGCCGAAGGGAAGGGTGTGGGGTCTGGGAGGGGAGGCGGGGTTCGGACTAGGAGGGGGGGGGTCCCCGAGGCCGGGGTCCAGGCGGGGAGGAAGGGTCCAGGCAGGGAGAGAGGTCCCTGGGATGGGGGTAGGGGAGGGATCCCGCGGGGGGGTCCGGAGGTGGGGAGGGGGTCCCCGGGGGCAGGGAGGGGGTCCCGAGGCGGGGAGGGGGTCCCGGGTGTGGGGAGAGGGTCCCGAGGCGGGGAGGGGGTCCCGGGGGCGGGGAGGGGGTCCCGGGGGCGGGGAGGGGGTCCCGGGGGCGGGGAGGGGGTCCCGGGGGCGGGGAGGGGGGTCCCGGGGGCGGGGAGGGGTCCCGAGGCGGGGAGGGGGTCCCGGGGGCGGGGAGGGGGTCCCGGGGGCGGGGAGGGGTCCCGAGGCGGGGAGGGGGTCCCGAGGCGGGGAGGGGGTCCCGGGGGCGGGGAGGGGTCCCGGGTGCGGGGAGGGGGTCCCGAGGCGGGGAGGGGGTCCCGAGGCGGGGAGGGGGTCCCGGGGGCGGGGAGGGGTCCGGGCGGGGAGGGGGTCCGGGCGGGGAGGGGTCCGGGCGGGGAGGGGTCCGGGCGGGAGGGGTCCGGGCGGGGAGGGGTCCGGGCGGGGGTCCGGGCGGGAGGGGTCCGGGCGGGCGGGGGTCCGGGCGGGGAGGGGTCCGGGCGGGGGTCCGGGTGGGCGGGGGTCCGGGCGGGAGGGGTCCGGGCGGGAGGGGTCCGGGCGGGCGGGGGTCCGGGCGGGGAGGGGTCCGGGCGGGGGTCCGGGTGGGCGGGGGTCCGGGCGGGAGGGGTCCGGGCGGGGAGGGGTCCGGGCGGGGAGGGGTCCGGGCGGGGAGGGGTCCGGGCGGGGAGGGGTCCGGGCGGGGGTCCGGGCGGGCGGGGGTCCGGGCGGGCGGGGTCCGGGCGGGGGTCCGGGCGGGAGGGGTCCGGGCGGGGAGGGGTCCGGGCGGGGAGGGGTCCGGGCGGGCGGGGGTCCGGGCGGGAGGGGTCCGGGCGGGAGGGGTCCGGGCGGGGGTCCGGGCGGGAGGGGTCCGGGCGGGAGGGGTCCGGGCGGGGAGGGGTCCGGGCGGGCGGGGGTCCGGGCGGGGAGGGGTCCGGGCGGGCGGGGGTCCGGGCGGGGAGGGGTCCGGGCGGGAGGGGTCCGGGCGGGAGGGGTCCGGGCGGGGAGGGGTCCGGGCGGGCGGGGGTCCGGGCGGGGGTCCGGGCGGGGGTCCGGGCGGGCGGGGGTCCGGGCGGGAGGGGTCCGGGCGGGAGGGGTCCGGGCGGGAGGGGTCCGGGCGGGGGTCCGGAGGCGGCCCCGGCGCCCCCGGGAGCGCGGGTCGCACCTCCGCACACGGCCTTTCCCAGGCCGGCCGCGGGCTGGCACCTCGCGCCCGCGGGGGACCTCGCACCTCCGTCGGATAAAAGCCCCGCGGCGGCGCCGGCCGCCCAGAGCCCGGACCGGCCATGGCGCAGTCGCCGCCGCCGCCGCCGCCGCCGCGGGGCCCCGCGGGCCCGGAGCCCTGGGTCTTCGCGCGGGGCTGGGCCCGGGCGGGACACGCGGACTCCGCGTCGCCGGCCTCCTCCTCGGACTCCTCGGGCTCCTGCCCGTGCGACGGCGCCCGCCGCCCGCCGCGGCCCGCGCCCCCGGCCGCCGCCGCCGCCGCCCCGCCGGCGCCCCGCCGGCCTCGAACCCGCGTCGCGGGCGGCGGGCCGCGGCGCAGCGCCAGCGAGCGCGAGAAGCTGCGCATGCGCACGCTGGCCCGCGCGCTGCTGCGCCTGCGCCGCTTCCTGCCGCCGTCGGTGGCGCCCGCTGGGCAGAGCCTCACCAAGGTGGAGACGCTGCGCCTGGCCGCGCGCTACATCGCGCACCTGTCGGCCGTGCTGGGCCTCCGGCGCCGGCGCCCGGACGCGGCGGGGCCCCGCGGCTGCCCGCTCTGCCCCGGCCCGGGCCCCGGCCCCGACGGGGCGGCCTGGGGAGACCCGCCCGCCGCGCCGCCGCCCCCCGGCTGCCCGCCGTCCCCGCCGCGCCCGGCCCCCGCCGCCCCGCTCTGGACCCCGCCCCGGGCCGCGCCCTGGACGCCGCCCCCCGCGCCTCCGGAGCTGGCCGAGGTGTTCCGGGTAGGCGCCTGCTCCCCACCCCGGGGGGGGGGGGGGGGACGGGAGGTCGGGGGAGGACGGGGGATCGGGGAGGGGGGACGGGGGGTGGATGCCATCCGGGCCACCTGCGGGGGGGGAGGGGGGACGGAGCACGCTGTCCCCCCTCCTGGGAGGGAGGGTGCTGAGTTCTGAGTACTGGAGCCGGTGGCCTGCTGCGTGGGGTTTTGTCATTCATTCATGCATGCATTCATTCATGCATGCATGCATGCAGGACTTGGGGGTCCAAAAGAGAGGGTGTTCGTCACCAGATGGCTTTAAACAGGGGCCCCAGGGGTCTGCGCGTGCCTTTGTTTACCCAGCCCTTCCTGGGGAAGCCGGTTCCCACGCTCCCTGAGCTGGGATTGCGAGGGGGTCCGGGCCGGGTCGGCCTCTTTCCGGGGTGTGTGTGTTGGGGAGAGGGGGGAGATCAGATTCCTGTCCGCAGACTCCCTGCGCCATCCGCTGACCGTCTGCCCCGCGTCGTCCGTCTCTTGCAGAACGTCCCTGTGTCTCCAGAGCCCTGCCTGTCCCTGGAGAGCCCCCCCCTCCTGGCCCTCCCTTCCTGCCAGAGACCCCAGCCTCAGCTCCAGTGGGGGTGCTGGGGTCCCGACGTCACAGAGCTGCTGCCGGGTCCCGGGGACCAGGAGCCGGGCCCCATCTTCCCGCTCAGCGTGGTGAGCCCCGGCCTGAGCCCTGGCCTGAGGCTGGGCGGCTGCCCTGAACTTTGGCACGAGGATCTGGACGGGCCACAGCTGGGCATCTTCTAACGACTTTGCTGCCCCTGGGCAGCCCCATCGGCCCGCGGCGTGAATGCCTTCCCTTCCTCCTTGTTTGCTTCCCGGGGGGCTTTTGAGCTCTCTGGCAGCCACTGGTTTTTCTGAAGGATGCCTCAGTGCCAACAGACGGACAGATGGGTGGTGGGGTCCTCCTTGGCTGAAGGGGGCGGAGGGGGGGCAGGAGCACCCTCCACTGCCTGGCACCCCCGTGCTCTGACCCCAAAGGCAGCCAGGCTGGAAAAGGGGGGAGGGGCGGGGCCAGGCCTGGGCTCCCCACCCTTGGTCAGTGCAGTTCAGAATCCTGTGGTTTATTTTGTAATTGTTTTAAAGAGCAAAAGTACCCACCCAAAATTCGGTGTTGTCTGTGTTTTCTTCTATCAACCCCGGCTCTTCTTGGAGTAGGAAAAGTGTCTTTGTGTGGGGAAGAGCCTGCTCCCTTCCCCCCCATCAATCCGGGCACGCCAGCTTCACGCGGGCCTTCACAACAACTGGACGTTGGTTGTGGCCAGGGGTCTCTATCATTAAGTTTCTGTTCCCCAGTCCTGCGGCTGTGACAGGAGCTAAGAATAAAAGGCAAGGGGCTGGGGGCTGGGAAGGTGGCTCAGTGGTAGAGTGCTTGCCTCAAGGCCCTGGGTTCGATTCCTCAGCACCACATAAGAAAAAGCTGGACATGGTGCTGTGGCTCAAGTGGTAGAGCGCTCACCTTGAGGACAAAAGCTCAGGGGACAGTGCCCAGGCCCTGAGTTCAAGCCCCACAACCAATTAAAAAATAATAATAAAAGGCAAACCAGGTGTTAGCGGCTCACACCTGTCATCCCAGCCACTCAGGAGGCTGAGTCTGAGGATCGAGGTTTAAAGCCAGCTTGGGCAGGAAAGTCCGTGAGGCTCTTCTCTCCAATGAACCACCAGAAAACCACAAGTGGTGCTGTGGCTTAAGTAGTAGAGCGCTGGCCTTGAGCAAAAAGAGCTAAGGAACAGCGCCCGGGCCCTGCACCGCCAGGATCTCAGAATGGAAGCCGTCTCCAGGTTGCTCTTGGCATTTGAGCCAACCCAGCGTGATCTGGTCTGCTGGCTCAGGGAGACGCTGGTGGCTTTGCGGCCGGCATGATGGGTGTGGGCGTGCGGGAGTCTGATGCGCCAGGCCAGGGCAGGTGACAGCTGATGCAACCGTGCGCCGGGAAAGGGTTAACTGGAATTGGAGGAAAGGCCGGGGAGGCTGGGCCTCGCTGGGCCTCGCTGGGCAGGGGCGCAGCCAGGCGGTTGACCTCTTTGCTGGGTCGTGGGAGGCAGTGGAGGGTGACTTGGCTGAACTGGCCAGACAGAACTCTTGGACCCTTCATCTGGTTCACAATCAGGGAGGCCGCAGTTCAGGCCAAGCTGCGTTCGGCCACCCCGAGAAGCCTGCGTGGCTGCCGGCGTCCCGGGCATCGGGCCTCCCTTCCTCTCCAAGCCTCCCTTCTCCCCCCTTCTAAAGCAGAAACTGGCAGGAGTGGGCACCCAGACACCACACCTCCTTCCTCTAACCTTCTAGAACCTACTGTCCCCTGGAACGGCCAGCCAGGATGACGGCACACACAGCGGGACTGTGTGGTGACCGCCGTCCCTGGTTTTGTGCACGTGAAGACACGGAGCTGCCAGAGGGAGAGGACCGTGGCTGGGGGGGGGCTGCAGCCCCCCTCTCCTCCCCAGGAGGTCCGTCAGTGACATCCTGGGCCACACGCCCCGCCCGCCCGGGCACCTCTGGAGGGGGGGGGGCTGAGGCGGGTCCCCACCCCCATCCCCACCCCAATGACAGCTCGCTCCTGGGGTCCCTGGCAGACCCATGGGAATCAGATATGGCAGAGCCTGCTCCGGACCTCCCGAGGACCGCGTGACCCGCGTACCCCCGCCGAGGGCAAGCGCCCAGGGCAGGCCGAGCCCTCCGCTCATGGGGTCCAGACTGCACCCTCAAGGCGTGACGGCTTCTCTAGAACCCCTGGAGGAGCCGGGACTGAGACACGGGTCCCCAGACCCCTGCCAGCCTGGCCCCCACCCCGCCTACCTTTCCCTTCACTGCACCCTGCAGTGTACAGAGGTTAGTCTCCTCTCCCCGCACGCCACTGCCTCTCTCATTGCTGTAATGAGACAGCCGTTGCGGTGTGGTGTGGTGTGGTGTGGTGCAGTGCGGTGCGGTGCAGTGCGGTGTGGCGTGGCGTGGCGTGGCGTGGCGTGGTGTGGTGTGGTGCGATGTGGTGTGGTGTGGTGCGGTGCAGTGCGGTGCGGTGCAGTGTGGCGTGGCGTGGCGTGGCGTGGCGTGGTGCGGTGTGGTGCGATGTGGTGTGGCGTGGCGTGATGTGGTGCTGTGCGATGTGGTGTGGTGTGGTGCGGTGCAGTGCGGTGCGGTGCGGTGCAGTGTGGCGTGGCGTGGCGTGGTGCGGTGCGGTGCAGTGTGGCGTGGCGTGGCGTGGCGTGGTGCGGTGTGGTGCGATGTGGTGTGGTGTGGCGTGGTGCGGTGCGGTGCAGTGCGGTGCAGTGCAGTGTGGCGTGGCGTGGCGTGGCGTGGTGCGGTGTGGTGCGATGTGGTGCGATGTGGTGTGGTGTGGTGTGGTGCGGTGCGGTGCGGTGCAGTGTGGCGTGGCGTGGCGTGGCGTGGCGTGGTGCGGTGTGGTGCGATGCGATGTGGTGTGGTGTGGTGTGGCGTGGCGTGGTGCGGTGCGGTGTGGCGTGGCGTGGCGTGGCGTGGTGCGGTGCGATGTGGTGTGGTGTGGTGTGGCGTGGCGTGGTGCGGTGCAGTGTGGCGTGGCGTGGCGTGGTGTGGTGCGATGTGGTGTGGTGTGGCGTGGCGTGGTGCGGTGCAGTGCAGTGTGGCGTGGCGTGGTGTGGCGTGGTGCGGTGCGATGTGGTGTGGCGTGGCGTGGTGTGGTGCGGTGCAGTGCGGTGTGGCGTGGCGTGGCGTGGCGTGGCGTGGCGCAGTGCAGTGTGGCGTGGTGTGGCGTGGCGTGGTGTGGCGTGGTGCGGTGTGGCGTGGTGCGATGTGGTGTGGTGTGGCGTGGCGTGGCGTGGCGTGGCATGGTGTGGTGCGGTGCAGCGTGGCGTGGCGTGGTGTGGTGTGGTGCTGTGCGATGTGGTGTGGTGTGGCGTGGCGTGGCGTGGTGCGATGTGGTGTGGTGTGGCGTGGCGTGGTGCGGCGTGGTGCGATGTGGTGTGGCGTGGCATGGCGTGGCGTGGTGCGATGTGGCGTGGTGTGGCGTGGCGTGGTGTGCTGTGCGATGTGGCGTGGTGCGATGTAGCGTGGCGTGGTGCGGTGCAGTGCGGTGTGGCGTGGCGTGGCGTGGTGTGGTGCTGTGCGATGTGGTGTGGCGTGGCGTGGCGTGGTGTGGTGCGATGTGGCGTGGCGTGGCGTGGTGCGATGTGGTGTGGCGTGGCGTGGCGTGGCGTGGTGCGATGTGGCGTGGTGTGGCGTGGCGTGGTGTGGTGCTGTGCGATGTGGCGTGGTGCGATGTGGCGTGGCGTGGCGTGGTGCGGTGCAGTGTGGTGTGGCGTGGCGTGGCGTGGTGTGGTGTGGTGCGATGTGATGTGTGGCGTGGCGTGGCGTGGCGTTGCGTGGTGCGATGTGATGTGGCGTGGCGTGGTGTGGCGTGGCGTGGCGTGGTGTGGTGCGATGTGATGTGGCGTGGCGTGGTGTGGCGTGGCGCGTGGCGTGGCATGGTGTGGTGCGGTGCGATGTGATGTGGTGTGGCGTGGCGTGGCGTGGTGCGATGTGGCGCGGCGTGGCGTGGCGTGGTGCGATGTGGCGTGGCGTGGCGTGGTGTGGCGTGGCGTGGTGCGATGTGGCGTGGCGTGGTGTGGCGTGGCGTGGTGCGGTGTGATGTGGTGTGGTGTGGTATGGCATGGTCTCATCTGCTGAGAGTCTGGGAAAACCAGAAAGCCATGGCTCTGACCCTAAAACGAGTAACCTCTGGGCCGTTTCTGCTGGATGAGCTCAGCGGGTCCTCTTCCCGCAGGCCTTGGTGCTGGGTCTCCCTGGGGTTGGGGGGGGGGGGAGAGTTTCCTGCAGCCTAGGAAGGCCGGCAGCCTCTACTAGAGTATAACTGACCCCACCTCCACCAGCTCCAGATAAAGGATGGGCTTGGCTTCGCTCAGCTGGGGCATGGCAGCTAAGAGTTGTGACTCACCCTCCTGTGCCTCAGTTTCCTCATTTGTAACACGGAGGTAGGGCTGGGCTGGCGGTATAGCTCAGTGATAGAACACCAGCCTCGTTAGCTAGTGGCCCAACACTACTACTCAGGAAACTGGAAACTGAGATCTTTGATGTTCAAAGCCACCCTGGCTGACTCATCTCCAATTAACTGCTAAAAAGCTGGAAGCAGCACTGTGGCTTACGCTAGAGTAGAGCAACATAAAGGACAGCGCCCAGGCCCTGAGTACAAGCTTCAGGACTGGCACATGCGTGTGTGTGTGTGCGCACACACACACAGAGGAAACCCTAGCTTAACCTGCCTGCACCCAAGTTCCATCCCAGGACGGCAATAAACAAGAGCTTGCAAAGCAGAGCTAGACAGTGGTCACTTAGCATCAGATGGCGGTGCCAGGCACAAAGGATGAAGACTCTTCCCGCAGCCCCCAGCGCGGAGCCTCCGTGGACTCAGACGGGGAGGGAGAGGCAGGCCCCTCCCCCAGCTAGATCTCAGTCAAGTGCCAGCCGAGGCCGCTGGGCCCTGGCGACAGGAAGCTTGGGCTGGGCAGTACCCGGGGACTTAATCTGGGGCCTTTGAGGTGCAAATGGTGGAGAAGATGGGGTTGCTTCTCACCTGGGAGGGGAGAGGAGGGGAGGCAGCAGGCTGGGAGGAGGAGGAGGAGGATGTGGGACAGAAGTTGTTCAGGCCCTGCTCCCTAGTGTCAGGCCGCCCTCCCAGGCTAAGTATGCAGATGCCCAGAGTCACAAACCCACTCCACAGTCCTGTCCCCCCAACAGCAGCTGGGCATCGTCTAGAACCAGAACCCAACATGCCTGCGGGGTGCCCACCCACCCTTGCTGCTGTCGGTTACCTCCAATTTGCTGCCGTCAAGCTTGGGATTACCCAGGGCATGGAGAAATACCGTGTGTAAGTGTGTGCATGTGTGTGTGTGTGTGTGTGTGTGTATGTGTAGTGCGTTCCTGGAGTGCAGACTTCTCAGCCACCCCGCGTGATAGGCAGGGTGCACCCTCATTTCCTGAGCCCAGATTCCACATGCCCTCCCCATGACCTGGAAAAGCACAGCTCAGGACCCCAGTGCACACAGCATGGAGAAGGGTGGGACCAGGCACTGATAGCACCCACTCCCATCCCTCCTGTAGGGGAAGGGCTTCCACTGCCCTGCAGAACCTGCCCTCACCACCTTGGGGAGACACCACGCCCTTACCTGTCCCCCGCCTCTGGCCAGGTCACCTCCTGGACACCCCAGTACCCAGCCCCCCTCCAGCCTCCATCAGAAGTGTGGCCTCAGGTATTGGGAAACAGGAGTTGGGGACCTGAGCGGGAACCTGGAAGTCTCTAATTTAGGACTTGTGCCTGGCCACGACTGCCCAGTGGACTGGATCTAGGGAGATGAATTCCCAGGAGCTGTCACCAGATGTGCTCAGCCCCCAAGGCTAAAGCTCTTCTCCCACTTTTTTGTGTGTTTTGGTTAGTTGTGGGGCTTGAACTCAGGGCCTGGGTAGTGCTGTCCCTAAGCACTTTTGCTCAGGACTAGCACTCTAACCACTCTGAGCCACAGCTCCACTTCCAGTTTTCTGGTGGTTCATTGGAGGTAAGTCATACCGGGACTTTCCTGCCCGGGCTGCCTTTGAACTGTGAATCCTCAGATCTCAGCCTGCTGATAGAGACTACTCTGTTCCTGCCTGGCAACTCTGCCTCCATTCTGTGTTTCTCTGTCCTTTGTTCGAAGCCATTCCCTCCCTGGTTTCCGGAAGGATGGCACGGAGAGGCCTTAGCCAAAGTACAGCCATTCTGGACTTAGACTGCACTGTGAAGGCCTTTACCGAAAGTAAGAACTGGGTTCCTGGAAAAACTATGAAATGTCCCAATAACGTTCCGCCCGTAACTGCCCTAGCGTAGCTAACATAGTTTGCTGCTTAGCCGCTTAGCCTGCACACGCTGGCCAGTAAGACTGTTACAAAATTCGCTCACTCAATGTCAACCAATCATGTAACTGCCAAGCTAGGAACCCCCTTAGCTCAACCCTATACCCTATAAAACCCTGTTAACTGAAGGGTTGGGCTCTGATGGAGGTGAGTCCAGGCTCCAGCTTCCAATCAACGGCTCTGACTCTCTTGGGCTTGCACTGGAATCGGCAACTTGGTGGTCTTTGGGGATCCTTATCTGGGCACAGGATCTCCTTTATGACAAAGGCCCAAAGACCCCGCAGAGCCCTGCAGGACACAGCTCCCCCAAAGAGAACAATTACCTCGAAGGACCAGGCTGTGCCTTGAACCAAGAGCTGTCATTGCATGGAGCCAGATGCACCCCCCTCCAGTGAAACCAGCCATACTCATTCCCTGGAACCCCCAAAACCAGCACCCAGAGATGACCAGCCAGGCCACGCCCGTCTACCCTGCCCCAAACCGACTTAACCCCGAAGCCCCTGTCTGTACCCAGATGATCTGAGGCGCTGTCTCCCCGCGGCCGGCCTTTCTGATGTCTCCTCAGAAACTTCCTGGTCACTTGAGGAAGAGTCTTCTTTTCCTCAGTTTCTCTTGTGCAAGATGGAGGTTGAGTGGCTATGAATCTCAGCAGCAGGCCGGCACCTCCGCCTCTCCTCTCTGGGGTCCCAGACTCCCCCCAGTGCATCCACATATCCCGGGCGTCTGATTGCTGCCTACCTGCTCGGGCTCCAGCTCCGGCTGCAGGACTGAGACTCGAGGCTCATCTACAAATTCTTTATTTACATTTTTACTTAGAAAAAAAAATATACAGATCTGGTGTGCCATGGATTCCTTGGGTTTGGGGTCCTCACGGAGAGGCGAGGGGCGAGCCCCCGCAAGGCCGCCGCTGTCCACCAAGGATTTCTGTTCACTTGGCCCTGGAGCTGGGGGTCCCTGAGCTCAGCCCCCAGCCCGGGGCGGGCGTGGGGGACAGACCGGGGCCAGGGGTGAGGTCTCGTGAAGGGCAGTGGCTGGGAGGGGAGGGACTGGGGGTGGGGAGCGCGAGGCCTCGGGAGGGCCTCGGGCCTGAAGGCTACCCTTGAGGGGCAGGCCGCGGCTTTGCGAGGCTCTGCCCTTGCCTGGTGACTTGACAAAGGGAGGCTAAACTACTGGCTGTTGGCCGTGAACCAACTGAGCACCGGGTCCTTGTTCTCCTTCACCCACTTGATGTTGGCTTTCGTCTTCTCCAAGGCCTGCTCCAGAGCCCGGGTGCCCGAACCGAAGCCCGTGTCCATGTTGTCCATCTTGAACTTCTCCAGCTGTCGGCCAGACAAAGAGTCTCAGCCCTGGGCTGGGGGAGGGGGGAGGAAGAGGAGAGGGAGGGGAGAGGAGGAGGGAAGGAAGAGAAAGGAGGGAGGAGGGAAGGGGGAAGAGGGAGGGGAAAGGAGATAGGAAAAGGGAAAGGGAGAACAGGGGGAGGGAGGGAAAGAGGAGGGAGAGGGAGGGGACAGGGAGGGGAGAGTCTCCCACTTCCCATGGGCACTTGCAGGCCTGGGATGGGGTCACGTCTCTCCCCAGGAGGACAGGGGGACAAGGCCCCAAGCACCCCAGATTGCAAGGCTACAGCCTCAGCAGAATTCGGCTGGAGCAGGTGCCCCGGCCTTCCTTATGCAACTTTTTATTAACTGAAGTCTAATCTCCCCGCAGCCAAGACAGGCGGAGGGGCGCACTCCAGAGGCCCCACGGAAGCTGCTAGAAGCCTCTGCGAACTGCAACCTGGTAGAAATGCCCACCACCCAATGACCCAGTTGCTGGCATAGATAATCGGCTTTTGAGGGGGGAGGGGGCTTTAGATAGAAAGCCTAGAGGTTCTAGCCAGGGCAAAGTAGGTCAGAAAATGGAAGAAAAGGCAACCCAGAAAGGAAGAAATCAAACTCTCTTGATTCAGATAGCAGAAAATCTGCCACTCTGGTGATTGATTGAGGATTCTGTTCATTACGGTAAGAATATTCTGGACTTAGTGGCAGTGGGCATACAGACAATATTGTAAACATATCAAAAAGCACTTAACATATTGAGTTTTGTGGTGCTTGAATTCTACCTCATCTGTCAGTCGTGGGACTTGAACTCTGGGCCTGGGCGCTGTCCCTGAGCCCTTCAGCTTGCAGCGAGTGCTCTAACACTTGAGCCACAGCGCCACTTCTGGTTTTCTGAGTATTTTGTTGGAGATGAGTCTCACGGCCTTTCCTGCCCGGGCTGGCTTTGAACCGTGATCCTCAGATCTCAGCCTCCTGAGTAGCTAGGATGACAGGCGTGAGCCACAGTGCCCGGTTCCTACCTGGATTTTTAAGAAACAGAACTGGACACGTAATCCAGCTGCTTGGTGAGGGAGGCGGGATGACCTGTGCCCAGGAAGTGGGGATGGGGCAGCCTGGGGGACAGCGGCGCCTCTCAGCCAGGCTCTGCTGCTTACCTGCTGGAGTTCGTACTCGGTGGAGAAGCGTCTGGTCACCGCCTGAATGAGGTTGGCGAAGGAGAAAGAGCCGCCGCCATAACTGCAGGGTGGGGGAAGGGGGTGAGTCCCGAGTGGGGGGGGGGGGGGGGGCGAGGCAGAGTGCCCATCCTCGTCCTGCACAGTCCCAGGCACGCGGGGCACTGGGCACCAGCCTGGCCTGGCTCCTCCCCCTCTCCTCCTCCAGCCTGCCCTGGCTCCTCCCCCTCCCCTCCTCCAGCCTGCCCTGGCTCCTCCCCCTCCCCTCCTCCAGCCTGGCCCTGGCTCCTCCCCCTCCCCTCCTCCAGCCTGGCCTGGCTCCTCCCCCTTCCCTCCTCCAGCCTGCCCTGGCTCCTCCCCCTCCCCTCCTCCAGCCTGCCCTGGCTCCTCCCCCTCCCCTCCTCCAGCCTGCCCTGGCTCCTCCCCCTCCCCTCCTCCAGCCTGGCCCTGGCTCCTCCCCCTCCCCTCCTCCAGCCTGCCCTGGCTCCTCCCCCTCCCCTCCTCCAGCCTGCCCTGGCTCCTCCCCCTCCCCTCCTCCAGCCTGGCCTGGCTCCTCCCCCTCCCCTCCTCCAGCCTGGCCTGGCTCCTCCCCCTCCCCTCCTCCAGCCTGCCCTGGCTCCTCCCCCTCCCCTCCTCCAGCCTGCCCTGGCTCCTCCCCCTCCCCTCCTCCAGCCTGCCCTGGCTCCCACCCCCACTTCCTGGCGGGCCAGCTGCCCCCTCCCCTCCTCCAACTCACTCCTCAAACAGCTTCTTCCAGTTGCTCTGGACGAAGTCCCAGACCAGAGTCTGCCCGACCACATTGCTGGCGATGCTGTTGATGGTGGAGGTAGCGTCCTGCTTCCGAATGTAGTCAGGGTTCAGGGTGTAGCTCAGGTACCTGTGGGGGGGCCGGCCTGGTGACCCTCCGGGGACACACGGTGGGCGGGCGCCCGCACCCCCCCGCACCCCACCCTCTGCACACCTAAGGGGGGGGGCCCTGGCCACACCAGGTGTGTGGCCGCACCAGGCAATGGGTGTGCGGAGCGGGGAGGACGTCGAGGGAGGGGCCTGCGGGGCGGGGCTCGGCTCCTCACCTGTTCAGGATCCACACCTGGTTGCTGCAGGCCAGGGCGGCGCGGAGCTTGTCGGCCTCGTTCACCAGGGTGGCGTTGCGGAACTGCTCCCAGGCGAAGTTCCACTCCACCTCCCCGCCCTGCGCGATGGCGTTGCAGTACACGGTGGAGCGCAGGTTGGGGTGGATGCTGGGGCGGGAGGGGGCCGGGTGAAGCAGCTGCTGGGGGGGGGGGGGAGGGGAGGGCCAGGCCCAGGGCAGCATGGGAGACACTCACGGGTTTTGGCTGGGGTTGTCCATCCACTGCTTGAAAAGCGAGGACACCAGGTCTTTGCACTCGGGGAGCCCGTTGGAGCAGGCCGTGCTGATGGCGTTGACCTCGTTGTACCTGCCCGGGGAGCCACGCGGTTGGCAAGTCCGGCCCAGACTCAGCCAGTGTCTTACTCTTCACACACAGCCTCAGACCTGTGCCCTGGGCGACCGGACCTTCTGGGTCTCTCCCTCTCTCCTCTCTCTCTCTCCTTCATGCTTTGGCCTGACTGAGCTTCCAGATCTTTGGAGGAGCCCAGGAGCCCCGCGGGGTCCTCACAGGGTCCACCCCAGCATGGCTGGAGGCTGTATGGCTGCCAGCTGGCCGGGGCGTGGTGTGCAGGCTTGTACAATGAAGTGGGTGGGGATGTGCGCACCGGCAGTCCCAGCATGTGGGAGGCTAGGGAACGTCGAATCCAAGGACAACCGGCCCTGCCTGGCCCAGAGCCCCTGCGCCTGCACTTTCTGCCTCCTGGGCCCCCCTGAGTCAGGAGCCAGGAGCCATGGGGAGACTTTGGGGCGCTCCCCCTCCCCCGCTGCATCTAACTCACTGCTCCATGAGGGTGGCCGGGCGCTGGGTCCAGTTGCCGGTGAGGTTTTTGAAGTAGTGGTAAAGCGGAGTGACCTGCTTCCTCAGGTAATTCTGGGGAAAGAACACGTGGGCAGCTTCAGCCTCCTGCCAGGCTGGCTCATGCCTGTGATCCCAACTGCTTAGGAGGTAGATCAGGAAGACTGAAGTTCAAGGGAACCGGCGGTACCCCCAATTCCCTTTCCCAATCTGACCCCCAGAAATGGGCCCACTGGTCTCATTACATATTTTCTGGAGAAAATACAAAGTGGTCAATTTTTCCCTTTGGAGCTAGGGTGCAACCCCGGGCCTTCGCACATGCTGAGCACATGCTCTACCACTGACCCCTTAGCTTTTAAGGATCCCCAGTGAAGAATTTCTTGCCTACCAGGTCACCCTACAATGTGAGAGAGTTTTAAAATATGGAACACTCCACAGGGCCGCATGACATCCTCGAGTTCGGCTGTGCTAACCTGAATTGAACTGTGGGGTTCTAGAATATTCTAGAAGAGCCAACAGCTTTTTTTTTTTTTTTTTCACTTTCAGGCCCCAACAGCCTTGTACTTGAAGGGAGACCAAGACAAACAGAAAACTTGGAGGAAGAGAAAGAAAACCCGAGAAGCCTGCAAAAACAACAAGGAGACATTGCGCAAGTCACCGGACTCGAGAGCACTCAGAAATGCAAAATAGGAGAGATTAAAACTGCTCTAGGGGAGAGCCGTGTGCAAAGCTGGGGGCTCCGGCCTGTGGGCGGAATAAAGACGTCGAGCTGGAAACAGACAAGAGAGCAACAGGGCCCGGGCCAGGAGCTACCGGTGCTTCTAGAAAGAGACAACCAGGAAGCAGAAAGGGAAGCGGGTTCAGAGAAGGCGCATGGAAATGTTCTCATCCCCAAAGGCACCCGTGTCTGGATTGAAGAGACCCAGACCGAGGCCCACTGACGTTCCCAGGAGAGTCTGGAAGCAGGAGAAACTGGTCACATTCTAGAAAGAAGAAAGGGCCTGGGCTTTGTAGGGAAGTCTGATGTCGGCAGAGGGATGGTTGTGGTTGTTGTTATTATTATTATTTGCCAATCCTGGGCATGAACTCGGGGCCTGGGCACTGTCCTGGAGCTTCTTTTGCTCGAGGCTAGCACTCTACCTGCCACTTGAGCCACAGTATCACTTCCAGCTTTGTCTGTATATGTGGTGCTGAGGAATCAAACCCAGGGCTTCATGCGTGCAGGGCAAGCAGTCTACGGCTAAGTCACATTCTTAGCCCCCAATCTAGAAACTTCTAAACGCAGCTTAGCTCTCAAAGTGACAGACATTTTAGATGTCTAACCAGGAAACTCATTCTCATGAACGCTTGAGCCTTAAAACTTGAGAGCAGGGCGTGGTGGCTCACGCCTGTCATCCTAGCAACTCAGGAGGCTGAGGCCTGAGGAGCGCAGTTCAAAGCCTGCCTGGGCAGGCAAGTCCACAAGATTCTTTTGTTTTATTGGGGGGGTCCGGTTGTGGGATCTGAACTCTGGGCCTGGGCGCTGTCCCTCAGCTCTTCAGCTGTAGGCTAGCGCTCTACCACTTGAGCCACAGCACACTTCCCACTTTTTCTTCCTATGTGGTGCTGAGGAATGAAACCCAGGGCCTCATGCATGCAAGGCAAGCACTCTACCACTGAGCCACCTTCCCAGCCCTCCACAAGATTCTTATTTCCAATGAGCTGTGCCTGCTGATGCTCCTCTTTCAACCGGCGCCTTGCTACACGTTCCCCTTTTGGCCTCGCTTGTGCTGCCTGCTCTTGGGTGCATCCCCCCGCCCCGTCCCTGGCGGCCGGGGCCGTCTGGGGCCAGCGTCCTACCTTCATGGGGCCGTAGACCTCGGAGCGGTCAAACATGAGCTTGAAGTAGTTGAGGCTGCTCAGCGCGGCCTCCCACGGCATGTACTCTCTCTCCTGGTACAGGAAGAGGGTGTTGTCCAGCGCCAGCGTGACGGGGACCCTGCGGGCACTGGGGACACACAGGAGAGCTAGAGCACCCCCAGTCCAGCCACAGGCCGAGGCCCCAGCCGGCCTTCAGGGCCGCCCCTCCGTCCCGGGTCCCCTGCCTGCCGCAAGAGGAAGAGGCCGGCTCTCCGGGAGGGCCGAGCGGAGGGTGCCTGGCTGCCACCCTAGAAGGACAAGTCCTCGCTCCTCACTTGGCGCCCTGCCGCCCCCCCCCCCCCGTTCCTCCCCTGCCCAGGTCTGTGGGTTGCGCGGCTCCCAGCACCACATTAGGTGCTGGACCCCTTCCATGCACACATGGTAGACAGGAGGCTGTCCTGGGCCAACCGTCAGGGGGCTCCACACACACACACACACACACACACACACACACACACAGCGAGGGGAGGGGCTCACCTGGCCAGATTGAAGGCATCGTTGATGATCTGCGCCCGATTGATGACAGGGATGGCCTAGAAGAGGCAGAGAGTGTGACCTGGTCGGGTAGCAGCCACGGCAGACGCGGCAGCCCGGCCACGGCAGGCCCGGCCACGGCAGCCCACCCACCGACAGCCCACCCACCGACAGGTCGGTCTGCAGCTGGGTCTGGATCTTCTTCCAGTTGCCCTCGTCGTAGTTGACCTGGTAGTAGCCGGTCACGTTCAGGTTCAGCAGGACCCACTCGTTGGCCGCACTGGTTTTGAACAGCTGGTTCTGGGCTGCAGGGCAAGATGGGCGCTGGGTGGGGTCCCGCGGGGGAGGGGGGCCCCGTCCCCTCCCTGTCCCCTCCCAGCCCCCCCCCCCCGGCCTGGCTGCCTGACCCCTGCCTCGGCCTCCCCTGCCTCTGCCAGCCAGCTCGCCTCCCCTCCTCCCCAGCCCCTGCCCTGCGCCCAGCCCGCATGCAGGAGGGCGGGGCGGGCTTCGGCCGCTGCCCTGCTCTACGCAGCTCACCTGGGCCCGGCGTGCTCAGCGGCCGGCTGAACAGGGCCGTGCCTGCGAGACGGCAGGCACTGGTTCAGGTTTTTATGTCAATTCTCTCCTCAGTCCTCACACAACCCCGCAGAGTAGATACTGCCCTTAGCTCTACCTTATAGATGAGGAAATGGAGACCAGAGGGGGATGTAACATGACCAACACTGCGCAGCCGGGCAGCGGCAAAGCGGACATTTGTTCAACCAGATGCAACCCTCGCTATGCCCCGCCGAGGCCTCCGGATCAGGGCGAAGGGCCAGGAGCGGCCGGGCGCCTTGCCCACCGGGGAAGGCCGGGATTACCTTTTTCTTCCTTCAGCCAGTAACTGTCCTGCTCGGCGCCGTTCCTGAGAGACGTGATCGGCACGATCCACAGGTAGCTGCGGACACGCGTGAGAGGCGGCTGCCGCGCCTGGCCCGGTTCCCAGCCAGCACCCAGCAGCCCAGGCTGCCGGCCCCGGAGGAAGTGACCGCCCCTCACTGACCGCAGTGGGCCGGAGGCCGCCCCAGTGCCCCCCCGCCCCGCCCGGGACACGGGCCGCAGCGACCCCATCTGCTCACCTGAAGTTTGAGGGCCGGGTGACGTTGGACTCAGGGTCCAGGAGGAAGTGCTGCTGGGAGATGTCCCCGGTCTCTGTGTTCACCGTGATCACCGGGAAGCCCATCTGCAGGATCCAGCGATCCATGATGGTGCCCACGCTGGCCGGGAGCTGGATTTCCTGCTGGCTGTTCACAGCCTGGGCACAGAACGAGGGGCAGCGTGGGTGTGGGGACAGCCATCCCCGCCCCTCCCCCAGGACCCCCTCTGTGGACTCCAGCCTCTGCCCCCGGGTGCCATCCAAGTTAAAGGTGACAGACGGGGCCCTTGTCCGGCAGTCTGCCCCTGTCTAATGGGGTCTGCCCCTGTCCAGCACCGTCTGCCCCTGTCTGACACGGCAGTACCACATACACAGAAAAAGCTGGAAGTGGCGCTGTGGCTCAAGTGGTACAGTGATCGCCTTGAGCAAAAGGAGCTCAGGGACAGTGTCCAGGCCCTGAGTTCAAGCCCCAGGACTGGCAAAATGTAATTAATTAAAATGAAAAAGCCAATGATGCAAAGCACAGGGGAATGCGCCATGAGAGCCCATGGGGAGGGGGAAGGGAGGGGGAGGGGTGTTGGGGGATCCTGGGGCGGGCGAGGACTTTGCCCCAGGTGGAGGAGGCTGGCAAGGGGAGGGGAGCCCCTGTGGGGAGGGCGTGGGCTCAGCCCGGATGGGCCTGTGGCACCCCACAAGGAGCAGGAATGTGGGCGGGGCAGGATGGAGGGTCAGAGTTTGTGTCTAGGGTGCCAGGATGTCCCGGGAGGGGCCGTGGGGCACAGGGCACTCCAAGTGCTGACGCGGTCTAACAGCTGGCCCCACAGTCCTGGGGGAGGGGGGACGGGCCCAGGACCACGACCCGAGGTGGACTGCAGGGGAGGGCCCTGCCCCAAAGCAGGGTCCGCCATGAGGCCTGCCAAGCCCGCCCCCCCCCCCCCCCCCCCCCGGGCTGAGTGCAAAGCCTGCGCAGGCAGACAGCCCTAGGGTCCCTCCCATCTCGTTTCCAGTGACCCAGCAGGAGCGCCACAGCCCCAGCCTTGAGCAAAAAGGGGCTGGGGGAGAGTGAGGGCCTGAGTTCAAGGCCCAGCAGCTGCCCGGGCGCGGGGCGCTGGCCTGGCTCACCTTCTGCAGGTGCTCCCACAGGTGCAGGTAGTCGGTGCTGTTGTACTTGAAGGCCTGGAGGTAGGACTGTGGAGAGTGGGGGGTGAGGGGGGGGGGGTCCCAGGCCTGGGGGAGGGGCTGGGCAGGCCGGCTGGGGGCGGGGTGCTCACCGCCAGGCCCTGTTTGAAGAGGTTTTCAGTGAGGAAGCTGGACAGCATCCTGAGGACCGAGGCGCCCTGCGGCAGGGGTGGGAGAGGGCTCAGCGGGCTGAGCAGCAGGGGTGTGGGGGGATCTCCTCCCTCTTGTGGGGGGCAGGGGCTTCACCTTGCTGTAGGTGATGGAGTCGAAGAGCTCGCTGATCTGGGCGGGCGTGTTGACCTCGTCGGCGGGGGAGGACAGCGGGTGGGAGGAGGCCAGGGCGTCCACGGCCATCACGCGGTACACATCATTCAGCACGATGAGATCCTTCTGCAGATGCCCCCCCCCGCCGCCGCCCGGGTCAGGGCACCGCCGGGGTCAGGGCACCGCCGGGGTCAGGGTGCCGCCGGGGTCAGGGCGCCGCCGGGGTCAGGGCGCCGCCGGGGTCAGGGCACCGGCCCAGGGCGGCCCCTCCCCCGCCCCCCCCGCTCCTCACCAGGTTCCAGGTGGGCTCAGCGTAGTCGGCGCCCAGGTACTCCACGTAAGAGGCAAAGCCCTCGTTCAGCCACAGGTCATTCCACCAGCCCACGGTGACCAGGTTGCCAAACCACTGCGGGGCAGCGGGAGCAGAGCGCCTCGCTACGCCGCCCCCCACCGCCCCCACGCCCCCACACCCCCACACCCCCTCCCACAGGACCCACCTGGTGCGCCAGCTCGTGCGCGATGACGGTGACCACGCGCTCCTTGTTCCCGATGGACGAGGACTGCGAGTCGAAGAGCAGCGCGTTCTCGCGGTACGTCACCAGCCCCCAGTTCTCCATGGCGCCCGCGTTGAAGTCGGGCAGGCCGATCTGGTCTGCAGAGGCCGGGCGTTGGCGGGCGCCCGCTCGGCCCGGACGGGAGGCCCCACGCGGGCAGGGCCCCCCTCCCCTTCCCTCCCTTCACCACTCCCCTGCTCCCCGGCCTCCGGCCTCTCGCTCACCAGACTTTTCCAGGGGGTACGAGGTGTTGTAGTGGTTGGCGAAGAAGTTGAGGATGGGGCCGGTCACATTCAGGGCGTAATCGCCGTGGCCCTTGGCTATGGCGCTTGGCCGAGCCCAGATCCGGATCTACAAGATGGGTGGAGGCGGTCGGGGAGGAGGATGCAGACCTGGAGGCCGGAGGCCCTCTGGGAACCCAAAGGTGGGCCGAGCGGCAGGGCGGCAGCTGGAGAGCGCCCCTCCCGTTTGCCGGGCTGCGGGGCTGCGGGTGGCTTCCGCTCCCCACATCCCCACATCCCTGCCTCCTACCAAGACGTTGTTGGGGGAGAGCGCCTGTATGTGGTGGAACTCGCTGACGATGTAGGCCAGCAGGTAGGTGGACATCTTGGGGGTGGTGTTGAACTCCGTGACGCTCCAGGCAGCGTCGTCCGGGTAGGAGTAGGTGGGAACTGGGCAGGTGGCAGACAGGCGGGTGAGCTGCCAGGCTCCCCAGCCCGGGGTGCCCCCGCCCGCCCCCCCCCCCGCCGTTCCCCCCCCTCCCGTCCCCTGGCCGCATGGCCCCGGGGCGCAGCCACTCACCTCTGGGCAGCATGTTAGACAGCGCCACGTAGTCCTTGGGGTGGATGAGGGTGATGTTGAACGTGGCCTTCATGGCGGGCTCGTCGAAGCAGGGGAAGGACTTGCGGGCGTCCGCGGCCTGCATCTGCGTGGTGGCCACGACTCTGTGCAGACCAGAGCGTCAGAAGACGCGGGGGGGGGGGGGCAGAGATCCAGGCCCGGGGCCCCAGCCTCCCCACCCCTGTATGGGCTGAGATCCGGGCCCAGCTCCCCTCTGAGCCTCTACCATCTTTCTAAAACCCCCTGCCACGGGCGCCTGCCGGCCACGACTCCCAGTCTGTCTCCCTGGCGGCTGGTGACGGCAGGTGTGGATGGAAGCACGGACCAGGCACCAGCTGGAGAGGTTCAAAGTCCCCCACCTCCCGGCTGCGGCTCAGCCTCCAGCCTCCAGCCTCCAGCCTTCAAAGTCCCCCACCTCCCGGCTGCAGCTCAGCCTCCAGCCTCCAGCCTTCAAAGTCCCCCACCTCCCGGCTGCGGCTCAGCCTCCAGCCTCCAGCCTTCATCCCCATAAACTCCTTTTCCTTTTTTTGGCCGGTCCCGGGGCTTGAACTCAGGGCCCGGGCTCCGTCCCCCGAGCCGCTGTTGCTCAGGCCCCTCCACTCACTTCTTGACGTCCCCTTCCATGTACTCGCTGCGGTAGAAGCCAGCCAGGTCGTCGGCCAGCTCCCCCTGGAACACGCTGTCCATCTCGTACTGCAGGCCGGCCCTCAGCGGCTCCCTCAGGTGCACCACCAGGTACTCGGTGCGCTCCACCAGCTCGGTGCGCTCGATGGCGGGGTTGGGAGAGCCATCCACGGCCCGCACCAGCACCCGGTGGCCCTGCTGCAGGGTGTAGTTGAGCTTCTTGCTGTGGATCAGGATGAGGTTGGTGGCTTCCAGGCAGGTGAAGCGCACGGTGCTCGAGCCCACGAAGACGTACAGGCCCTGGCTGTTGGGGGTGAGGTAGGGCCTCAGGGTCACCTGGTAGGAGTCGGGTACCAGGGAGGCGGGCAGGCGGTACCGGTTCCAGGGCTTGCTCAGGTCCGGGGTGGTGGCCCCGGGCTCGGTGGGGGGGGTGGGGGGGGCCGTGGGCCCCGGGGCGCCCTGCGCATTGTTCCTGTTCTTCTCCTGCGCGTACACCACCGACAGCGCCACGATGGTGCACAGCGCGGCCACGCCCAGCAGCAGGCCCAGGAGGCCCAGGGACTTGGAAATGTAGAAGCCCTTGGCCATGGCGGGGCTGGGCGGGAGACCAGATTGGGGCAGCCGCGGCCCCGGCTTATATGCGGGAGGAGGAGGAGGGGCGCCGCCGCTCCCGTTACCCTGGGCAAAAATTAACCAGGGCTGGCACAGGCGAAGGTCACGGTCCAGCCCCGCCAGGCAGGGGCCGCTCTGCCCAGCTCCGGCTCCCAAGTGGTGTGCCTGGTGGAAGCAAATAGCGCCCGGTTACAGGAAAGCAGGAGGCGGGAGGAATGGGGAGGGGGCTATAGGCTGAGGGCTGGGGGAGAGAGGGAGCAAGCAGCCAGGCAGCATGGATCAATCCACCTGGGAACAGAGATGGTGCCAGTGGTAGCAGCAGAACTGAGGCTAGACTCGGGGAAGGACTTCCCAGGAGTGAGAGGTGGGACACGCTCGCTCGGCGCAGGGTGGAGGCCAGGTCCGGCTGGGGGTCAGAATTGTGCTTGATTGCTGGTTCTCATGGGAATCCTGGAAAGGGGGCCAGGGGCTCCTCAGGAACAAGACACACAGCCCCCCAGATCCCAGCTCCCTCCCGGTCTTTTGGACAGTTCCTCCGTCCCGTTCCTCCCTCCGGCCAAACGCCGCGGCCTCCCCTCAGCCCGCTGTTTGAGTGGAGAAGGGGTCCACTTCAGCCAGGCCCCTGCCCCCCCCTTCGCCTTGCTGTCTTGCTTTAATTAGGGTTTTGTTTTGCTAAACCACTGCACAAAGGACGGGGGTGGGGGAAGAGGAGCGTGGGGGCGAGCACGGGTCTTTTGGGGAGCCCTGGAATGTCCACTTTCCAGACCAAGTGAGCTAAGTCCCCCGAACCCGACCCCACCTACTGGCCAAGGAGCACCCTGGGAAGCCAGGGTCCGGACCCCCCAGCTGGCACAGCCAAGAGATAGAGGAATGGCTCCAGTCCCCTCCACGCCGGGCCGAGGCCCTCCACCGCTGCAGCACAAGGACCCACAAGTCTGCGTGGCCTAATCTGTCTCCAAACAAAGAGCGAGGCCTGCCCGGCCCACCGCCGGCTCTTCCTGTTTGCTTTGGACGCAGACCACGGCCCAGCCGGCCGGACTCTGAGAAGGACCTGCGCTTCGTGCTGCCCCACGCTCCCTCTGGGGACACCAGGACGGACCGCCCGGCTCTCCACCCCAGTCGGGTGCTGGCTGCCCCATCGGCTGGCGAGGGGGTGAGACCACCCCCCCCCACCCGATCCCAGACCCCCGCTGCTCTGGGACCCAACTGAGCTCTGGCTTCAGCCGCAAGGCCATCTGTGAGCTCGACCCTCTGGCCTTTCCTCTTCCCGCATTCCACTGTGGTCCCGAGCTGCCAGCATTTCCCCAAGGCCTCCTGTTTCCTCTACCACAAATGCCTTTCCTTCCCCCAGCCCCTCCCCAACTCCTACTCGTGCTTCAAAACCCAGCTCGCATGCTACTGCCTTGTGCGTGGCAGCTCTCTCCCGGCTCTGCTTCCCAGATCGCTGTTCACAGCTGAACCACGCTCAGCCCTTCCCCAAAGGCCATCTTTGTGTTGGCCTTACTTCACAGCAGGGCAGTACCTAGCACACAGCACATACCACATAGCACCTAGCACACAGTACCTAGAACAAGCACCTAGCACACAGTATCTAAAATAAGCACCTACCACAGAGCACCAAGCACACAGTAGTGGCAACCTACGCTCATGGAGCAGCAGCAGCGTGGGCACACGGTGAAAGGAGCTAGCACTGTGCCCAGTGTGTCAGTCCCGGGACAGCCTTCCAGCGGGACCCGCCCGGGCTCCCAGAGCGCACACACAGCACCTTCACACACACACACACACACACACAGCACCTTCACACACACAGCACCTTCACACACACACACACAGCACCTTCACACACACAGCACCTTCACACACACACACACACACACAGCACCTTCACACACACAGCACCTTCACACACACACACACACACACACACAGCACCTTCACACACACAGCACCTTCACACACACACACACACACAGCACCTTCACACACACACACACACACAGCACCTTCACACACACACACACACACAGCACCTCCACACACACACCACCTTCACACACACACCACCTTCACACACACACCACCTTCACACACACACACACACACACACACAGCACCTTCACACACACAGCACCTTCACACACACACACACACACACACAGCACCTTCACACACACACACACACACAGCACCTCCACACACACACCACCTTCACACACACACCACCTTCACACACACACACACACACACACACACAGCACCTTCACACACACAGCACCTTCACACACACACACACACACAGCACCTTCACACACACAGCACCTTCACACACACACACACACACACAGCACCTTCACACACACACACACACAGCACCTCCACACACACACCACCTTCACACACACACCACCTTCACACACACACACACAGCACCTTCACACACACACACACAGCACCTTCACACACACACACACACAGCACCTTCACACACACAGCACCTTCACACACACACACACACACACAGCACCTCCACACACACACACACACACCACCTTCACACACACAGCACCTTCTCACACACACACACACACACACAGCGCACACACACACAGCACACACACAGCACCTGCACACACATACCACCTACACACACACACCACCTTCACACACACACAGCACACGCACACACCACCTCACACACACAGCACCTTCACACACATACACACAGCACACACACACCACCTTCACACACACACACAGCACACACACACCACCTTCACACACACCACCTTCACACACGTTACCCAACCACTGCTCTACTTCTCCACCCCACTGAGCCAGAAGCCTCTGGGGTGGGTGTGTTCAGTTCTCCTTTTCCTGATACCTTTTCCTGATGGGGAGGTTCACCTGGGAGCCCCCCCAATCTGGGGCCAGGGAGCGAGCAGCTGGCTCTCCCCTGTTTCCGGGGATGGGAGCAGAGATCCCCCCCCCACACACACACACACACATGCACCTCAGGTTAAGCTGCTGGTATTTCCCTTCAGAAAGCAAGCAATTCAGGGGCTGGGAAGGTGGCTCAGTGGTAGAGCACTTGCCTTGCATGCCTGAGGCCCTGGGTTCGATTCCTCAGCACCACATAAGCAAAAAGAAAAAAAGCTGGGAAGTGGCGCTGTGGCTCAAGTGGTGGAGCACTAGCCTTGAGCTGAAGAGCTGAGGGACAGCGCCCAGGCCCAGAGTTCAGGCCCCACGACCAACAAAAAGAAAAAAAAAAAAGAAAGCAAGCAATTCTAAACTGAGACTAGGAAACAGCACAGCAAGGAGCCGGTATGGAGCCAGGCGCCGGTGCTCACACCTGTCATCCCAGCGACTCAGGAGGCTGAGATCTGAGGATCAGGGTTCAAAGCCAGCCCAGGCAGTAAAATCCCTGTGAGATTCTAATATCCAACTAATCACTCAAAAACCGCAAGTGGGGCTGTGGCTCAATGTGGTAGAGCACTGGCCCTGGAGAGAGCTGTGGGACAGTGCCCAGGCTCTGACCTGACGCCCCGTGACTGGAAAATAGGAGCTGGTAAGGGTGTGCAGGCGCGGGCCTGGCCTCCGTGAGGCGCCGGCGATCCAGGGCCGGGCAGTGTCGGGGCAGGCGGGCGGCTGGACCAGCTGAGTCCTCCTCGGCAGCAGCTGCGGCGGCCCAGCCCGGCCCGGCCCCCAGGGCGCTTCCTCTGCGCTCCCGTGAGAACCACACAGGCCCACGGGAAGCTGGCCTTGGCAATGGCGGGCTGGGGGGGTGGGAAGGACTAGGAGCGATCCTGCTTCACACAGCCTCTCTCCCTAAGGAACAGGCATCCCCGGCCGGAACAGAGAGGCCGAGCGACCAGCAGGGGCCACACGGGTCCACCCCAGGTTCTACAACTCCCTGAGGGGCCTGGCCCCGCTTGCAGGGGCCCCCTCTCCCCTCAGACGCAGCCAGGAGCTGGGGGGAATTGGGGAGGTGTCTGACACCTGTTGGTGGGGACCGCCAGGAGCTGCCACAGGGGGGAGCCGGGCCAGGCCACTTCATGCCCCCAGCCCCCAGGGGCTCAGATTTCCACCCAGCCCTGCGGTTCTAGCACCCGGGCCTCCTGCTGGGTCCCCTGCACCCCACAGGGACCTGGGTCCCCGGGCGGTGGGCGAGGGGCGCTGCCCAGTGATCCCCCAGCCCCCAGCTCCTGCTGCCCCCACCACCAAAGGCACCATCAGGGCCCCATGAGGCCCACCGCCTGTCCCCAGACACCCTGGAGCACGGCCTGGGGCCCCAGAACCGGCCACCACCAGAGGGGACCCTGGAGCCCCCAGGCCAGCTGGCCACCCCCAGAGGAGACCCCGGAGCCCCAGGCCGGCCACCTCCAGAGGGGACCCCGGAGCCCCAGGCCGGCCACCCCCAGAGGGGACCCCGGAGCCCCAGGCCGGCCACCTCCAGAGGAGACCCCGGAGGAGCCCCCAGGCTGGCCGGCCACCCCCAGAGGAGACCCCGGAGCCCCAGGCCGGCCGCCCCCAGAGGAGACCCCGGAGCCCCAAACAACCCCAGGACGACGCCCACCTGGCTGTGGGAATGGGGCTGCGGGGTCCTGGGCTGCGGGGCCGGGGATGTGGGGACCCCGCTCCTCTGGGCTCAGCCCCCCCCCCCCGCCCTGCGGAGACCCCGGAGCCGCCGCGCCCGTCCCCGGCCTCAGTTTACCCATGCGGGAAGGGGCGTCGGCGGCAGATGGTGGCTCCCGCACGCGGCGCGGGCCGGGACCCCGCGCCCCGCACCCCGCACCACGCTCCCAACGGCCGGGGGCCGCGCGCCGCCGCCCCGCCCCGCCGACCCCGCCGACCCCCGGCCCCGCCGACCCCGCCGACCCCGCCCCGCCGACCCCGCCCCGCCGACCCCCGGCCCCGCCGGCCCCCGGCCCCGCCGACCCCGCCGACCCCCGGCCCCGCCGACCCCGCCGACCCCCGGCCCCGCCGACCCCCGGCCCCGCCGACCCCGCCGACCCCGCCGACCCCGCCGACCCC